AACACCATACGAAAGAAAAAATACTCACTTTCAGAATGTTGATACAGAGCTGGAGATGGTGGTGGAAGGCATGTATGTTCGGCGACCAAGAACTTCTGAGGAATGCAGGATCACTCCTGATGTCATTGCACACCACCTTGATCGTGTGTTGCACCAAACGATCAAGGAGGCATGTGCAATGACATCAGGGGTGATCCTACATTCCTTCAGAAGCTTTCCACCGCAGCAAGCGCTTTCCGCCAACGTCTCCAGCATTGTGTCGATATTAGGGGGTCCGCTCATAAGTCCGACGCCTCATAGGTCCGACGCCTCATAGGTCCGACAGAATCGCATCACCTAACCAAATAAAGGCCTATAAGTCCGACGCCTCATAGGTCCGAGGCCTCATAAGTCCGACGCCTCATAGCTCCGACGCCTCATACATTGTAGCTCCGACTCTTCGTAAGTCTGACAAATTAAACACCTCATATTTCCGTTGTCGGACTTATGAGGCATCGGACTTATGAGGCGTCGGACCTATGAGGCGGAATAAATAAATTTTATGCCTCATAAGTCCGACGCCTCATAAGTCCGAAATTTCAGACTTATGAGGCGTCGGACCTACGGTATGAGGCGTCGGACTTATGATACGGCCCCGATACATGTATTAGAGGATGCCAGATTTTGAAAATGAGTATTTTTTTGTATGGCGTTTAAATCTCACCCTCTTGCACAAAGCTTATGAAACTCACGCCATAAAATTTGTTGTGACTTGTTTACATACTCACATGATCTGAAATGTTGGTTTAATCCCATTGTTAAACAACAGAGTTATTTAGGTGCAAAATTAGGACATTTTTTTTTTGTAAATCGAGGATTTTCTTTTACAAGTTCCTCTTCCCTTTTCCTTTGTTTGTACTAAAACTTTTTGGCGACAGCTCTCATTGGTTTTGTACACGATTCGGTTTCTGTCCTCGATTTATCGATGGTGTTGCACCTGTGTGTCCTCGATTTACACCATAAAGTTAATAAACATGCGCATACATGTGTACCACTTAAATTGTCAAGTTGAAAACAAAATGCTGTTTTGTTGATCTCTGAGGACACATGTACACGTATGCATCCTCAGAGAACCAGCATGCCACACAGTGTTGTTGAATGTGTGTACAAAGAGTTCATTCATGTACAATGTACATAGTATGTACTTGTACAATAAACCCTGCCCCAGTGTCCAGGGTGCCTGGGTACTGGGAACAAGTGAAGTGTAACATTGAGGCAAAGCCAATGAATGCCCATGGGTTCTGCACAGTTTTGACACACCTCTTATCTATCACAGCAGTGGCCATTTGTTACACGTGTCACTGCCAAAATATTATACAAGCATGGTTTGAAAAAAAAAAAAACACCTCAGAGTCAGACAGATCCCCCCCCCCCCCCGAACCCTTTGTACAATAGTTTTGTCCTATGATCGCTTCTTTGTGTATAAATTTACATCCATACATGTAGTCTACTACATTGTATGTACATGTACATGTATATACATTGTACAATGTTGTGTGTTATTTCTAACTGGTGGTACTTGAACATTTATATGGAACAAGCATACTATGAGGGATGCGGGGCCATGCATGGCACTCATCATAAGGTACAATAGCAATTTTTGCCATTGTTTCTAAGGTTATGGAGAATACAAACATAGATCACCGGAAGAACTGTGCATTTTCAAATAATTTTGCATTCTGCATTCAAAATTGGATTTGATAATTAAATTTTTGAATATTCAAAACAAACAAGCTTTACATCATGTACACCGCCTTAACTACATGTACCGGTACACCAGTCGGAAATTCCACATGTACCTGTCAGGAAGTGAATACGCATGCGGCACGCCCTCATTGATATTTGATAACATTGATCAGGAAAGGTATGCTCCACTGAGCAGGATTTGCATATGAACAATGAGCTTAATAAATATTACCGTAGGAACATCGTGTACACAATATAATGATATTTTGTTATGTGACACTATGTACACACGTAGCTGACACTATTAAAGATGCAAACTTATAGTAATGATTATAATGACTTCACATGCATTTCTCTTTCAATCTTCTCATAGCCCTAACAGTCCTGAATCCTCCAATCTCAATACGATTTTGCACACCCCCTAGGGAGTTAGAGTCAAGACAAGTCCCATTTTTAGAATATCCAAATATTTGAATTTAGCACAAATGGCACAAACGCGCAGGATGCACAGGGTGTCCATCCCTGCGAGTCTGCAACAGTATTTCATGCCCGTTACAATTGTTCACAGAAAGCAAAGGTTAAAGGGAAAATACAACATTTGCAAACATCACAAAATAAAACTACCAAATCATTTTGAAATACCTTGCTGGACTGTTAGTGAATGACAGTGTAAAGCATCCTGTAAAATCATGGCACCTGGTATACTGTCATTTTCAAGAAAAGTGGTATTTTTGTACCAAATTTCCAACGCTGGTCGGCCGACCAGCGTTGGAAAAAAAACTGGCTTTTTTCAAAAACTGGCTCCAATTGACCATCGCACTTCTTTGCAATCGATTACACACCTATAAACGGGTACAAGCCAGCTAGACTGGTTCCCTGACCTTACAATTCCCCAATATGTGTAAACTGCTCTGTTTCTTCCTATATGGAGTCAGGGAACCAGACTACAGGCAAATGATTGTTTTTCTAGCATTTTTATAGCATTTTCGAACCCAAAACCTCAAAAAAGTCAGTGTACCTATATGTATATTTCCAAACCCCCAATTCCATCCATTTCTGAAAATTACATCAAAAGCAAATGATGTATATTCCCTTTAATACTGAAATGATTGAAACCATTTCTGGCAGAGCGCTCTGGGAACTGAATTTCAACTCGTACATGTACGTGGTATGCTTTCGGACCTGTCACTGCGCACAGACAGTTTGAATCAATTTACATGATCGTTGAACATATTGAAATGAGTTGGAATGGAATGTCATTGGTAAGCTCTAAATGCAATGTGAGCATGCGGATCCATGCACACCATTTAATATCGTGGTACATGTACCGGTTCAATGTATGCACGATCACCCATGTGCCTATATTCACGTATGCGTTTACACAGAGCAAACTCAAATGTGCATGCCGGTATATATCTGTTTTGGCGTATCAGATTTATTATTAATGCAGATCACTGAGAAACTGAGCGAGTCTGTTTTGATACACGATACATAGTACAAGTACACATACATGTACGGTAACTCAATTGAGATTGCCAGCATAGGGAGGAGAGGCACATGTAGCCTACTAGACTGAGTCTGTGCAAATGTAATAAAATGGACAACCGCGTGTACTGGTACATGTACATGTAGTAGGTTTATCGATATGAGATTGTCAGTGACATCCCCCAGCACAGGGAGTGATGGAAGAGGCACTGAGTGAGTCTGTAAGATGTACAGTTTATAAAACAGTCGGTTTTATCGTTATGAGATTGTCTGTGACATCACCCAGCAGAGGGAGTGATTTGGTAGGCACTGAGTGAGTCTGTGCACAATGTAAAAACAGTAGGTTTTATCGTTATAAGATTGTCGATGACATTACCCAGCATTTAGGGAGTGATGGAGGAGGCATTCATGAATTAGTCTGACTAAGGCCAAAAAAAAAAAATATTCGGTCTCTGGTCAGACCAAAGTTCCGGAATTGACGCGGCCATGCGGCTTTTTTTTGTTTTTTTGTTTTTTGTTTCTTTTTCTTCAAGCTTGGATTGTACAGACAAGGTGGGTTCTATTTTGCTTTTTTGGTGTCCTCATGTACATTGGTGTCCTCCATCATTTTCCTTGGTGCTTTCGATCATTTGCCTTGGTGCAATTTCCCATTCCTTGATGCTCTTTGGTAAAAAAAATTGAGGAGGTGCGGAAATAGAGGGCGCTGTTGGAGCTACCGCGGAACATTTTGGAAAAAAAAAGATCGACGCGCATGATTAAAATCGACGCGCGCGCTGACCAGAGACCGACTTATTTTTTTTTTGGCCTAATGCACAATTTATAAAAAGTAGGTTTTATCAATATGAGATTGTCGGTGACATCACCCAGCATGATGAGTGATTGGGGAGGCATTGAGTTTGTTTCTGCATTCAATAGGGAACGTTGAACAATAGAGGACATTGAACAATAGAGGACAATAGGGTCCCCACTTCCCAAGAGTTCCCCAACTTGGATTCATGTACAAAACACATGGGAGGTCTTCCTAAAAAGTTGCAGGCAAATACACAGGTCTGTGAGTGAGTCTGTGTACAATGTAAAAACAGTAGGTTTTATCGATGGTGAGATTGTCAGTGACATCACCCAGCGCAGGGAGTGATGCAGGAGACACTGAGAGTCTGTAAGATGTACAATTTATAAAACAGTACCGGTAGGTTTTATCGCTACGAGGTTGTCGGTGACATCACCCAGCGCAGGGAGTGATGGAGGAGGCACTGAGAGTCTGTAAGATGTACAATTTATAAAACAGTACCGGTAGGTTTTATCGCTACGAGGTTGTCGGTGACATCACCCAGCACATGGAGTGATGGAGGAGGCACTGAGCGAGTCTGTAAGATGATACTCCCATTGAAGCTAGGCCTGCATCTTGTTTGTGGAGCTGCTTCTTCTGTATCCCCCTCTGAAATGTCTTATATATGTACAGTCAATACACATACATGTACAGTGGTGTAGATGCACCGAAGTGCTTGAGAAAGGCTAGAAATGGCCCAGAGATGCCAAGATCACACAACAGCTGGGAGTGTGACAGTGCAAGCGGCAATCAGGCCATCATAATGTAACCATATTGCGCGGTGTTATGTAAGGCCCCCCCCCCCCCCTTGGTGATGAGCCTGATCCAACCCCACCCCCTCTCCATTGCTACCTTGTATCCTTTGTACAAGTATAAATAATAGCCAGTTGGAATCTTATTATTTCGTGTGTTATTATCTACATGTAATAAAATAAAAGATCTTTTCATTTGCTTCTTACTACAGACAGAGAATCCATGACATGATTTTGGCAAGTATCCAAGTCGCCCCACCGGTGCCTGCTTATGACCTTTGACCTTCCCCAGTGAATTATGGGCCTGATAGGCCTCTGCATCACCAACACCAACGGCAGTGACAGAATGGAGATGCAAGTAGCAACTCGGGATGGTTTCATTCCGTTGTTTCTCTACACCCGGGCGCTGGGCCCCCAGCCTTGCTTCCAAGTGCCCTATCGCGAGGGTCTTACGACAGAAGCGCTGTGCTGGCTCGCTGCCAGGGAATGCGGTATTCCACGCCTCAGTGCCAACCTGTTTGCCATCTTCAATGACGCTGAAGAAGTGTGGCTAGCTCCCGCCGCAAAAATCAAACCCTCGGACCGGTCCCTGATCTTTCGTCTCCGGTTCCACATGTCGCCGTCGGCAACAAACATCACGTCCTTGGAAGAAAGCGTGGTGGCGTACATGTTTGCCCAATACCGCCACGACTTCTTACACGACAAGATTCCGAAAATCACTATGGAGGAGCGATTGGGACTCATGGTGTTGGACATGGTGCGATACGCCAACGAGAATGGACGCAGCGTGCAACGCTGCTTACGTCGTGGTCTTTTCAAAACGTTCCTTCCAAAATCTCTCTCAAAGGAGTTGAAAGTGCTAGATATCTGGAAACTGAAAAAAAAAGTAAGAGAAAAAAATATTCTCTGTAGGAATTTTTTTTTTCATGTAAAGTGCACAGTTATTTTATGTATACAGGTAGCCATAAATATTGAAATTGAAGGCCTTCAGGTCACAAATTTTAGGTTAACGTTCTCAATTCCATAATTTTCCATACCATAGTTTTCTTATTCATAAAATGTCTGCATTTGAAAGCAGGAGGTCGTGTGTTCGAGTCCCGCCTGAGTGATTTTTTCCAACTTTCACTTGGGAGGTAACACACCGAGTATGGTAAATTACGTCGGTGAAGTGCAAAACCTAATGTTGATTTACATCACCCCGACGCAAATTCCATCTTATTAAAAGACATTATGGTCGTTCGGTACGTGCATAGTTTTTTTCTTTTTCAATATTCAAATTGGCAAAAAGCTATTGGAATATTCGGTTGATGATCAAATATTCGGTGTAGTTGGGACAGCCCTTATTGTTTTCATGTATTTTGTGGTAGATGTTGTTCTTCTCATTGTTTGTATCGTGACTAATAATGAAGTCAGTTTTACCCGTGATTTGACTCGTGATTTCTAAGTGCGATTTCTCATTTTCAGATTCGCAAGAGCCTCTGTGAGTTTGAGCGGTGTGAGCGAGACGTCAACAAGTACCGCATGATGTTCCTGATCTCGCTGATGGAGGAAAACGAATCGTGGGGCTCGGAGGAGTTCAAGACAGTGAAAGGTCAACAATTCGCTGTTAGTGCCGCGGCAAAAGGAGTCAAGCAGATTGAACCAGCAAGTCAGGTATGGCCATATTCAAAACAGGGTCATTTCGTAAGTTAGGGGTCCAAAACTTTTGAATTGAATTGAGATCCAATGGGCTCTGTGCGCCAACAAAGAGGTCACGTTTTTACCACTTTTGAGAGCCTTTTGGACAGGAGATTCAGCATTTGCGTACTGTACTGTACTGGTTCGAGCGTGAAGTACGCACAACTTCCTGAATTGTCCCAAAGCTATTAGCCACAGCATCTTCGTGTGAGAGTCAGGCGTCGTTGGCGCGCGAATACGTTCTAATTTAACAGCCAAATCCCCGCCCCCAATAACTTTGGATCATTTGAAATATGCAGAGGATGGACCAGGAGCCAGCCTACCGTAGGTCTTCCCGAACTCTCCTTTTCTGGCCGTTGAAGGAGTACTCATGCACATGACGGAGCCCATATTATTGTTTTCTCGGAATATACAGCATTCACAGAACTAATTAAAAACAATCCCTGCATACTGTTGCAGAAAATGCTGTGTTTACGGTAAGCGTATTTCACAGGTTAGCGAGGAATGTTTGCTTCTGCGCATGCGTATATCCCGTTAATAAGGATTCTGTGCTTACAGGTTAGCACAGAATGTTTCTGCTAGCGTGGTTATCACAAAATTTGTGGTCGTTAGGTTATCAGAACCAAGAAATTTGGCCCAATTCATACTTCGAATGCGAAGCAAATCGGACGTCACAAACAATTTCTTGCAAAATTCGCCAAAGTTGAAATGTGTTCGACTTTTGCGAATGTGCAGCATGAAAATTCTCATGACTTCACAAATTGGACAAACATTCCATTCATACGACAATATAGGGTTTTGTTGTTATGTTGAAACAATTTAATAGTACAGACAGGTTCACTTCTTTAAAACTTGAAATGAAAGAGTTCAATCCAATATAAATAAATATTGCACACTCTACTTTAAAATGTTAATATCACTAACAGTAAAGTGATTAAGTTTTAGACTAGGACTATACTGATTTTAACTGCTTCACGGAATGTGGCACAAAATGGGTTTCTTGGCTTTGTGGTTATTCAAAAGCAATCTCAATGAAACAAACGTTATTCTCAAGCTAAATCTATTACCTTGAAGATGGTGTAAACATCCCCAGAAAATTTTGGTTGTAAATTAACAAAAATGGAGGGGTTTACATGCACCATTTATTTCAGGACACCCTGTATACATGTACTTCAGTGTGCTGCTTACAGTATGTTACAATCTCCCCTCCTTTTTTCAAGGGGGAAACTGGTTGGTTTGTGAAAAATAACAAGCCCCTTGACAAATCAAACATTAACCATGGGAGTTTCCCCATAATTTTCCCCCTAAGCACTTACTGTACAGTGTAATTGTAGTTTTGACTCTGTTAAATTTTACATTTTACATCTGTTGATTTCACAACCATACTTAAAAGGCACTTGACCACATTCAATTGTACATTGGACGTGAATAGAGTGGCCGAGTTGAAAGGCAATTTACATTTTTATGCCCCGCGGCGAAGCCGAAGGGGCATACTGTTTCCGCCTTGTCCTTCCGTGGGTGGGTGGGTGGGTGGGTGTGTGGGTGTGTGTGTGGGTGAGTTTGTCTTACATACGCAGTGTGGACTTCCGAACAAAAGACGTCCACATAATGTAGGTAGCACCGACGTTGTGTGGACTTGCCCCACGTCCACACAGTGTTTCCCCATTTCTGGAAAACAGGTTTAGAGGCATTTTTGGGTTAGGTTTATCTGTAGCAGAATGAAGAGAAACACTAAAGGGAATCATAGAAAAAAAATTGGGTTGAAAGAGTTTTCACAGTTTGAGAAAAATGAGTTTTTTCACTGGTTTTTCTTAACTACACGAAAGCAATGGAAAGTCCACACTAGTCATGTGAAACAAGTATGTGTGTGTGGGTGGGTGGGTGTGTGTGTCCGGACAAATCTTGTCAGCGCGATAACTTGAGAAATACTTTACATATGAACTTCAAATTTGGTTTGTGGATTGTCCTTGGTAATCCTAAGAAGCCTTTTGCATTTGGGGCCGAAAGGTCAAGGGTCAAGGTCACAGTGGCTGAAACAATAGAAATTTTGTCAGCGCGATAACTTGAGAAATACTTTACATATGAACTTCAAATTTGGTTTGTGGATTGTCCTTGGCAATTCTAAGAAGCCTTTTGCATTTGGGGCCAAAAGGTCAAGGGTCAAGGTCACAGTGGCTGAAACAATAGAAATTTTGTCAGCGCGATAACTTGAGAAATACTTTACATATGAACTTCAAATGTGGTTTGTGGATTGTCCTTGGCAATTCTAAGAAGCCTTTTGCATTTGGGGCCAAAAGGTCAAGGGTCAAGGTCACAGTGACTAAAACAAAAGAAATTTTGTCAGCGCGATAACTTGAGAAATACTTTACATATGAACTTCAAATTTGGTTTGTATATTGTTCTTGGTAATCCTAAGAAGCCTATTGCATTTGGGGCCGAAAGGTCAAGGGTCAAGGTCACAGTGGCTGAAACAATAGAAATTTTGTCAGCGCGATAACTTGAGAAATACTTTACATATGAACTTCAAATTTGGTTTGTGGATTGTCCTTGGCAATCCTAAGAAGCCTTTTGCATTTGGGGCCAAAAGGTCAAGGGTCAAGGTCACAGTGGCAAAAACAAAAGAAATTTTGTCAGCGTGATAACTTGAGATATACTTTACATATGAATTTCAAATTTGGTTTGTGGATTGTCCTTGGCAATCCTAAGAAGCCTATCGCATTGGGGGTCGAAAGGTCAAGGGTCAAGGTCACAGTGGCTAAAACAATAGAAATCTTGTATTTATTCTGAGATCATAGGGATTAGGGATTAATTCATATAAAACCTACAGAAGACACTAATGCTGTCAATGAACGTTCCATTTGACCAAGGTACATGTAAGTTGATGTTAGAGTGGTGTTATGTCATGGAAACAGTCACGGTTGCGGGGCATTTGTGTTTGTAAACACACCTGACTTGTTAATAATGTTTTTCAAATTTCAATATGTTTGCGCATTTTGAATGTGGCAACGTACTGCGAAAGTTTCAAAGTTTGTTAAAGGGAATATACATCATTTGCTTTTGCTGTAATTTTCAGAAATGGATGGAATTGGGGGTTGGAAATATATAGCAAATATAGTTACACTGACTTTTTTGAGGTTTTGGGTTCGAAAATGCTGTAAAAACCAAGAAAAACAATCATTTTCCTGTAGGCTGGTTCCCTGACTCCATTTAAGAAGAAACAGAGCAGTTTACATATATTGGGGAATTGTAAGGTCAGGGAACCAGTCTAGCTGGCTTGTACCCGTTCATAGGTGGGCATGTTTCAAAAGTGGTCATCATAGAGGTAAAAAATTAAAAAGCCTTAAACAAGATTTACAAATCCTTATTTTTAAAGCAGATTAACCTAATTTTACTATTTTGAATAAAAAAAATTAAATTTACATACTTATCTCAGTGAAAAGTTGCTTTAATAGTGTGGCCAGTGAAATCAATTCATGTCGGACGGAAATTTTTGCATTTAAAGAAAACCCTTCTCATAATAAGTACAAATGCCTTGAATTCTATCTTTTCCACAAAAACAATAACTTAGATTGTCTTCAGTCATTATCCATTTCATCATTATTGCTGCTGCCGTAAATCTTGGTATTTCATTTCAAATGATAATTTTTGTTGTCAAGATTTCCGTCCGACATGCTTAAGGTTGTTAAAATGTTTTTTTTTTTTAATTTACTTGTTTTAATAAAAAGGCAAATATTGTCAAGTATCAATGAATAGACTCAGTATTAACACCAACAAAAGGTTTTATGTTTCACCTTGTCACCCTTCGAGATAAAGTGAATAAAAGTGCTTTCCGTCCGACATGCATGTCGGACGGAATGGTGTATGTCGGACGGAAATGGACTTTACATTCCTAGATAGTTGTGCCTCGGGGAACTGATATTAATAATTGTTAATTAATAAACATAAAGTAGGGGATAAAGAACTTTTACCAAGTTGATATTGTTCTTTGCTCATTTCAGTACCATCAAAGCAAAGCCTACACAGGACAGTAAGATTCCGTCCCACATGCGAAAATCCAAATTTAGCCAAAGTTGAACAGGCTGACTTGTTTGGCAGCCTACTGACCAGTCACACACCTTGGTGTTTCCAATAATTAAGGCAACCTTCTATATTCATGGGAATTAAACTGTGCAATGTACATTAATCATAATCATGTACATTTTATTCTTTTTGGACTGATGATGGCTTTTACATATTTGTGTTAAGATAGTGAGGTTCGGTAGACATTATTATAATGTACCGTAGGTGAGGGAATTTAAACTGTATCCAGGTAATTTGGCAAGTACATGTACCGGTATGTGTGTGTAAAACTCACCTATACTGGCATATATGTTTTTATCTAAATAAACCAAACATGTCTATTGTGTTACATGAACTTAATAATTTGGAAATTATCGTTATAATGTGTCAGAGCAGTGAAACAATGCTAGCTGTAAAATGCTATACATATACAGAGCATCAATGCATCCAGAAGAGTGCCATGCCAAAGAAAGAGAGCGGAATAGCAAGATCAGGGAGCAATTACACATGAGAAATATACACAAGGAGAAATGAACTTGTGAAATTTAAGGATAGAACACACAAAAAGAAAGTGTGCCAAAGTGAAGCTGTGTAGCCGCCCCCCCCCCCAATATTTTATAATGATTGCTATTATTTGCCTTTTTCCACTAGCGGTTACCCCCCCCCCCCCCCCCCAGGGCGGATCCAGGAATTTTCGCCCTAGGGGAGGGGGGGGGGGGTTCATCGGCAAAAAGATTTGAAATATATACAGGGTTTTTGTTCTCTGGACACTTGGGGGGGGGGGGGGGGGGGGGGGGGGGCTTGTACCATACTTTCAATGGGGGCGCTGTTCAATCCGACAATTATTAACAATATATCACGAAATGGTGTACATGTACATACCGGTACATGTACCGGTATGCCCCCTAACCAAGCTGGCTCTGTCCGTATTTTGTGCAAAGGCGAACATTATTGCCAGTAAAAAAAAATTTGGGTGTCGGAGTGGGGGGGCGGGTTAACATTTTTTAAATTAATTTCTAGGGGAAAACAATTTTTTTTACAGCGCTGGGTTTTGTTTTTACCCCCAAACCACCCCCCCCCCCCCCCCCCCGAATCCACATCTGCCCCCCACCCACAATATTTTTCAAAGAGTGTCCTTTTCGTATAAATGAGGGTCCTTTTTTAGCATGCCTTTTGTGAGTGCCCAATGCGAAAAATTGCGCAAATATTGGCAATTGTTCCTGTATAAATTAGATATATTTTAAACCACCAGTAGTAATATTCTGAATGCATTTTGTCAGAAAATTTAGACATTGTACATGGACCTGAAGTGGATAATATTTGTTAGCTAAAAAACCTGTCTGAAGATTGCAATTATTCATGTTTGTACAGAGGATGTAAACTGATATAATGAAAATCATGTCGGACGGAATGAAGCATGTCGGACGGATTTTTAATAATCTTTCTCACACAATTGTAAGAAGCTTGATTATTTGTTCATTATAAGTGCCCAGGTGGTAAGCACAGTCAACTACCTAAAGACCACTATCATTAAAATTAAGTTTCTTCAAACTTTGTTTTTGGGTCAACATAGTGATTCCGTCCGACATGATTTGTTCCGTCCGACATGGTGTGGCTTCAGCTGAGCTTAACTGAATATGACATAGTGTTGTAGAGAAAATATATACGTCAGCATAAGTAGTGATTGTTACTCTTCTTGACATAAAACATAGAAAAAAATTATCCCTCAAGTTTTGATAAAATCTGATTTTGTTTCTGAAATTCTGAGGAGGCTCATTTCTATCGATTCCGTCCGACATGTACACATTTTTCGTAATAACAGACAAACAAAAGTGTGGAATTTAGAAATAATGTTAGGTGTCATTACTTAAAATCTTTGGTGTTGTTTGAAATCAGAATAACATTTTAATGTATTCTAAAACAAAAATTGTTACATTTTGTTCTATCAAATTCCGTCCGACATGATTTGGGGACTTTTGAAACATGCCCAGGTGTGTAATCGATTGCAAACAAGTGCGATGGTCAACTGGGGCCAGTATTTGAAAAAAGCCAGTTTTTTCCAACGCTGATCGGCCGATCAGCGTTGGAAATTAATACAAAAATACCACTTTTCTTGAAAATGACAGTACTTATACCAGGTGCCATGATTTTACAGGATGCTTTACACTGTCATTCACCAACAGTCCAGCAAGGTATTTCAAAATGATTTGGTAGTTTTATTTTTTGATGTTTGCGCACAAATGTCTCTCCCAGTTGTCTCCCCCAACTCTTCCTTTCTTACCCATTGTTTGGCACGGAGCCCATACATACATGTTCGTAAACATGTAAGATGTGAGATAAATTAATGAAATTTAGTTTAGAAAATGAATTTGAGCTTACAATCATAAGAATAACTTTTTAATACTGATTCACTGAATTTCAAAACAAATACCAGTAGCTTTGATTACATACCGGTACATGTATCACTGGTTGTAAAAGTGTACTATTACTATAACGAAATGGTTATTTTGTTGTCTTTGTACCATAGGCAAAGCACTTCAAACTATATTTTGAAGACATTCTGAAAGTTGGTATGTGAGCTTACTATCATGGGAATAAGTTTTTAATACTGATTCACTGAATTTTAAAACAAATAGCTGTGATGCATGGACATGTACCCTGTATATTACTGGTTGTAGTACAAAATGTAGGTACTATTATTATAAAGAAATGGTTATTTTCTTGTCTTTGTACCATAGGCAAAGCACTTCAAACTATATTTTGAAGACATTCTGAAGGTTGGCATGTTGGCATCTCGCGAAGCAGGCTCCAATAACTGGATTGTGCTAGTCAACCAACGAGAAGATGTTCCCAAGGTTAGTATAGGCCTGAGGGAAATAACTGGACAAACTACATGTACAGGTTGAGTAAAAAAAAACGAAACCCAAATGTTGGGACCATGTTTTTAAGGAAGTTCTGCATGTAGCATTTTCAAAATCTAGGATATGAAAGCCCAATTCATAAGCTTTCTTTTAGTACAAGAATCATTCAAATCACTGATGTACTTTACAAGTTACGGAATTTTAAACACAACCACAGTTTTAAAGTTCTGTCCATGGATCACAAAATGTATAGTGTTCTTTCAGCAAAACGAAAGCAAATCACATTGGGATGTGTGTGAATTGTTTTTCATTTTGCTGAAAGAATGCACACCTTTTTTGTGATCCGTGGACAGAACTTTAAAATGGTGGTTGTGTTTAAAATTCCGTAACTTGAAAAGTACATGAGCGATTTGAATGATTCTTGTACTAAAAGAAAGCTTATGAATTGGGCTTTCATATCCTTGATTTTCAAAGTACTTCACTTCACTTAAACAATAGTCCCAACATTTGGGTTTCGCTTTTTTTGACTCACCCAGTAGTTACAAAAAAATTATAAAAATCATTACAAAATGCAGTTGGATGGAATTGTGCTACATGTATGATCCAGGCATCTGTACCCCGTCGGACGTACCGGTACAAAATGGTTTTGACCACATTATTTTGGTTTCCATCAACAATCGAATGGTAGTTCATATCTTTCGCTTTCTTTGTTTATTTTGAAACAAAACCATCAATCAGGGTGAGTATTTTGCACTTTAATTTCCTGTAAATTGGGCTGGTCTTGATTACATTATCAAATGAGAAAGTTGACTCAGAACGTGGGATTAAATGGATGTAAAACCCACCTTGTTTAGAAAGCCCCTCTATGCATTCTCATGCAGTATAAATTTCTGGATGTTTGGAAGGTTGTAATTTTAAAAAAATCATTCCGTTGGACATTTCGCCTGTCATTTAAAGGGAATATACATCATTTGCTTTTGCTGTAATTTTCAGAAATGGATGGAATTGGGGGGTTGGAAATATATAGCAAATATAGTTACATGTACACTGACTTTTTTGAGGTTTTGGGTTCGAAAATGCTATAAAAACAAAGAAAAACAATCATTTTCCTGTAGTCTGGTTCCCTGACTCCATATAAGAAGAAACAGAGCAGTTTACATACAACATGGAAATTGTAAGGTCAGGGAACCAGTCTAGCTGGCTTGTACCCGTTCATAGGTGTGTAATCGATTGCAAACAAGTGCGATGGTCAATTGGGGCCAGTTTTTAAAAAAAAAGCCAGTGTTTTCCAACGCTGGTCGGCCGACCAGCGTTGGAAATTGATACAAAAATACCACTTTTCTTGAAAATGACAGTATACCAGGTGCCATGATTTTACAGGATGCTTTACACTGTCATTTACTAACAGTCCAGCAAGGTATTTCAAAATGATTTGGTAGTTTTATTTTTTGATGTTTGCAAATGTTGTATTTTTTCCTTTAATTACATGTAGACGGAGCCGATATTTAATAAAAGCAATTCACCTTGCTTGAAATTGCAACTGTTACTGTGAAAATAAATTTGTACACATACATAAGTGTATGTGGACAACATCCTTTGTCCATTATTTAAGCATTTGTTCCGAGAACCTTCATCTTGGTAAATCTTCAAGGGGGATCAAAGGGGGTGGGGCCGGGGAGGGGGAGGGGCGGGGTTGGGTGGTGTACTGGGGGGGGGGCACTCACCATCCCCATTTTAATGCCAATGTTTTACATGATGGGAAAAAAAATCCAAAATTTTCTAATTCCCATGAATAACATCACTCATAATATATCTTGATTCATTGCTTCATGGCTTTGGTCCTTTACATTGACTGCATTGCCTCATTTCCCCCCCCCCCCCCCCCCCCCCCCCTCCCCCCCCTTTAAAAATACCTTGAACTTTGACACACCAGCCAACCCCCTGTGGTACATTTTGGAAGAATGTAGCATTCAAAGTTGGATTCGATCCAATATTCAAATGAAAAAAAACATGAAAAAAAGTAAAACTGCTGCAAACTGCTTACTGACTGGATGGACCTGAAATATATAAATCTAAAATTAATGTGGCCTGACGTTGCGAACTTAGCAAGTTCTTCTTCAGAGGCTAAAACAGAAATGACAGAGATACATACATTAACATGGGGGTGCACACAAACATGCAGGGCTGAAAGAAGAAACACAAAAGGAGGATTAGGAGGGAAAGGTGTGGAAAGATGCAGGGAGGGTGGATGAGAGAACAAAGAAACAAAGGGAGATGGCAAACCACAAGGGGTCTGGTGTAAACAGGGGAGGGACCAGAAAGGGGAAGGATCAAAGGTCACAGGGAGTGGGAACGGACAAAAGAGTGTGAGAGTGAAGGGATGATGCGGGGGGGGGGGGGGGGGGGGGGGACAGTATTGAGGTGGAAAGGGATGAAAGATGGCGGGAGATGTGTAAACACAAACAAGGAAGACCAGATGGATTATCTGTAACAGAGGACAATGGAGGAAGAAAAGGATTAATCATTTCCAAGTTGGATGTTGAGACCATGTGGTTGAATAGTTCGAAGACGATTCATCCACACCTTCTCTCTGCTGAGGCGAACTGACTCTTTGCGATGGCCAAGAGATTCAATGCCCTGCAAAATCATATCAGAAATGGAGTGGTTAGGCAGGTTGAAGTGATGACCAACAGGGGTGTCTAGTTTCTTGGTGTTGACCGTTGACCGATGGGCATAGAAACGCTTCTTGAGCGTATTCTTAGTCTCACCTACATACTGCACTCCACAGACCCTGCAAGAAATGATATATATGTCTGTGGAGTGCAGTATGTAGGTGAGACTAAGAATACGCTCAAGAAGCGTTTCTATGCCCATCGGTCAACGGTCAACACCAAGAAACTAGACACCCCTGTTGGTCATCACTTCAACCTGCCTAACCACTCCATTTCTGATATGATTTTGCAGGGCATTGAATCTCTTGGCCATCGCAAAGAGTCAGTTCGCCTCAGCAGAGAGAAGGTGTGGATGAATCGTCTTCGAACTATTCAACCACATGGTCTCAACATCCAACTTGGAAATGATTAATCCTTTTCTTCCTCCATTGTCCTCTGTTACAGATAATCCATCTGGTCTTCCTTGTTTGTGTTTACACATCTCCCGCCATCTTTCATCCCTTTCCACCTCAATACTGTCCCCCCCCCCCCCCCCCCCCCCCCCCCCCGCATCATCCCTTCACTCTCACACTCTTTTGTCCGTTCCCACTCCCTGTGACCTTTGATCCTTCCCCTTTCTGGTCCCTCCCCTGTTTACACCAGACCCCTTGTGGTTTGCCATCTCCCTTTGTTTCTTTGTTCTCTCATCCACCCTCCCCTGCATCTTTCCACACCTTTCCCTCCTAATCCTCCTTTTGTGTTTCTTCTTTCAGCCCTGCATGTTTGTGTGCACCCCCATGTTAATGTATGTATCTCTGTCATTTCTGTTTTAGCCTCTGAAGAAGAACTTGCTAAGTTCGCAACGTCAGGCCACATTAATTTTAGATCCAATATTCAAATATTACAAAACACACCCGACAATTCAGTTTTACATACAGTTCGCCAGGCTACATGTAAACTGTGTAGAAATTGGAAGCTACCCGGTACGGTACATATATTCATGTCCACTCCCTGGTTTGAAATTTCAGTGCTTTGGTCAGGAACGGTCAACTGTACAGGATTTGCGTGACATTGAGCTCTACAAATTTTAAAAACATCATGTAAATAAATATTAAACATATACCGGTACATGTACATGTATAGTGTCCATATTTTTGGGGGGATGTTCATGTGTATTTGTGAACATGTACCGTAGCTGGCTACTTGTAGCCAATACTTGAAAGATTTGACAGAATTACAGAAAAATGTACAAACTCAAAATGAGCATCAATATTATGAATGTACTGTATATAAGTGTACTGCAGTTTCATTCTTGATGCATGTACAAATATTTACGTTGATTTAGTGATGCATGTTCTTTCAAAGTTTCAGTTTCAAAAACATTCTATAAGTTAAATGCTTGGCACCCTGCCAACACACGTGAAGCCTACAGGTAGTTGAAGGTGAAATGTAGATCTATCATTGCTAATTGATTTTTTTTTTTTCGTTTATAATAAATGGCATTGGCTCTAAAATTTACAATCACACTGTGCGTTGATCAATTTGATGGCCAAAATGAACTATAAAGAGTGAGTCCTGTACAAAACAATTGTTTTGTACAAAATTGTGTTTGTTTCAAGTTCTATTTAAACTACCGGTAGTACCGGTAGATCTATATCGTGTTTCCTTCTTAGAAAAAGTCATGACATATTGGTATCCCCAGTACTTGTAAAGATACCTGGATGGGGAAGCAATGCAGTTTACAATTCAATATTTTGACAACCCTCGGGCCAATTTTATAGAGCTGCTTGATAAGGCCAAAAAAAAGAATAGTTCTGCTTCCGGTTACCCGACCGACCCTATTTTTAGGCTGCGACCCTAAAAATTTTATCGGCAATTCCAAAAAAAAAAAAAAAATATAGATTGAATAAATAAAAATAAAAACCTTAGGCCTATGTCTTGTCTGTCTTCACAAAAGACCTCTCAACAACCCTTTTGCATCAAAAAATGCTTGTATTTATTGTTTTCTTACTTACATTCGCTATTTTTTCAAAAGTAACCTCCGTTATTTTTACAAATTCGCTGCGCGATTCAACTACTTCGCAATTCGATGTCTATAATCACGTGCGTAATAAGCGCAATGCGGCGACGACTGGTTCCCGCCGCGCCGCGCAGGAGCCAATTATGTAAATGCGGTAACTAGTCTGTGCACGGCTATGCGATGTTAGCGCTAGCATGGCTATGCAGGCGCAGGCACATGCTCTGTCAACTGGTCGGAATCGACATCGTAAAAATGCTGAGAAAGACATCGTAAAAATGCCAAGAAAACACCGATGGAGAAAGAACATTTTTGCAAGTTAATTCACAGATTTGATCTAGCTTGTCTGTGTATGTATTTTCCGTGTTCAAGAGTTCATTTTGAGATCGCACTACTCGTATTCGCACTACTCGTATATACAATGCAGCGTGTTTCCTGAAATGTTCGACCCGTTGGCCGCGGGCCACACATGTACATGTACAGTGCATCACACACTTCGGAGTTATGGCCAGCTCCCGTTCTTGACTAGCGTTGTGCCTATGGTGCGAACGACCTGAATTTCCCACAATTTTTTTTACGAATTATCGAACTTAAATATATTGACAATAATTAAGGTAGGTTTTATTCACTTTTTGTGGCCATTTTGTGTATAGCTTTCGTAGTGCAATAGAAATAGTTCAGGCTAAAACTTCGCATATAATTGAATACCCCATTCAATCTGCATAAAAAAAATTGGCAAAAAAAAAAAAAATTCCGACCGACCGACCCTATTTTTGAAAGACATGTAATCGGAAGCAGAACTATTTTTTTTTTTGGCCTAAGCACAAATTTTGCATAATAGGATACCGGCCAAAACGCTATGCGACATACATTGCTTTTGACTGGTATTTAGCTGGTGTTTTCTTAGCATAACAATGGCAAGAGTTTCGGTGGTAACGGTGGGCCAATTTCATAGAACTGCTTTAGCACAAAATTTGCTTAGGCACAACAAAAAAACAAAAACAAATTGCTCAGTAAAATCAGGTCACCAGCCAAAACTCAATTCGATTGCTAAGTAAACAACAGCTAAATACCAGTCACAAGCAATGTACATCGCATAACGTTTTGGCCGGTGTCCTGATTATATTAAGCAAGTTTTTTTGTGCTTAAAGCTATAGTCCATCATTTGTGATTAGTGCATTTTGTTCGTTTGAAGCAACAAAAGTGTTTAAAATCTAATAAAGGATACTGAACAACTTACTTTATGAAGTCTCAGCTCAGCTTCAGCTTTATATTCCGAGAAAAACAGCATTCTAGGATCTCAATTTCAAATCATAAGTTGCTAAATCATGTTTCGAATTGTTTTGAATTGCAGCTTTACGCGATGTCGCGCACTGATCCGACGAATTATAGCAACCACGCGCGCCTGTGCGTCGGTCCAATGCTTGTGCGCGCTGCGCCGAATAACAAAACGAACTACTAATTTAAATTTTCCTACGGTGCTTCTTAAGACGCACCGTTGGAAATGCCTTCTTTCGTTGATTTCTTCAAAATGAGAGCTTGCCAGAAAGGATAATTTCACAGGGAGTTTAGTCCCCTTACTATCTTTCAACCAGTATGTTTTTCAACAATAATTACGCCAGTTACTTTTTTGGATAGCTGCAAATGATGGACTGGGGCTTTAAGCAAATTTTGTGCTTAATCAGCTCTATGATATTGGCCCCTGGTGCTTATTAAATGTATCCAAATTACCTATTTGCTGTTGATACATTGATTATACCTGTACTGTATGATCGGTAAATTGCACATTGTACATTGTTCATTGAAACTTTGAAAGCCCTAAGTTTTTCATACATGTAGAAGAAACCCGGAAAAGTCATGGAATTCCATTTTAGGATGTCCTCAGTTTGTCATCATTCTTTTATTTTCCTTGACAGGAATTTGTAATGGAGAACAAGCAGCAAGCTGAGTCGTTAGTTTCACTTATTGACGGCTACTGCCATCTTCAAGTCGACTACTACCACTACCTGTTGCAGGAGTGTGCACCGCCCTCGCTTGTCCAGTTGATTAAAAGCAGGTGTCATGGACCAATCCCGTAAGTCTCAAATCCCTCCCTGCTGGTTTTCGAAATTCCTTTCCTTCCGGATTTGTTTCCTTAAATGCCAAGATGTTTTGAAATCTGAAATTCCGGAAGTTTTACAGTTGAGATGTTTTTACATTTACCTGTGTCTCACCATCAACCAGTAGATCAGCAGATAATGTTTTTAACCCTTTAAACTCGGCCCAAATTTTGACATTTTGGTCTCCTGTATTTTCAGACTGTCTTGTGCCAAGAGGAAAATTGAAGAGGCTGGATCGGAAGATGGCATCTATCTCATCCGACAGAATCCTGAGGATTTCTCCAGTTATTGCCTGACAGCAAGACTGGACGGCAGGATCAAGAACTACAAGATCATTATCGATGAGGGTAAGAATGATGAGGCTGTCATCAATGTGTCATAAGGCATCACAATCCCATCTAGTGATCACAAATAATCACGGGACTGCCAACTTCGAGTAAGAGCTGAAAGTGAGAATTTGGCGAAACAGCTTGATCAGAACTAATGCAAGCGCAAAACGTGAAGCAAACGGCCTGGGGTTCAGGGCACGCTTAAGGGCCCAGACAATTTTGGAATCTAGACGCTCCGTGGTGCAATCAAAGGCAATTTCTGACCACTTGTTTATTGTTTGCATATTGTTTGACTGAAATTTCAGACTTATGAGGCGTCAGACTTATGAGGCATAAATTCCGCCTCAAAGGCCCGACGCCTCATAAGTCCGACGCCTCATAAATCCGACAATGGACAAATACTGTTTCGGACTTATATGAGGCGTCGGAGCTATGAGACGTCGGACTTATGCAGCGTCGGACCTTTGAGGCAGAATTGATAAGTGTTATGCCTCATAAGTCCGACGCCTCACAGGTCCAAAATGCTGTACTTACATGTATGAGGCTTCAGACCTACATGTATGAGGCGTCGGACTTACATGTATGATCGAACCCCTAACACATTATGTGGAAATTTTCCAATTCCAGACGGCTCTGTGGGATTGCCCGGTCAGCGAACCTTTCCAGATGTTCGCGGTCTGTCTGATTACTACCGCTGTGCAGTCAACTGTGCTTGCTTGGAAGGACCACTTATCAAAGCCATACCTTACCAACCAAGAGGTAAAAACATTGATGTGTTTATAGTGAAATTGAAGTGTAATCATAGTGTTATAGTACATTTAACACAGTGTCATTATACAGGCATATGCAAAGTTTCCTCGGATCAGCTGATTTCTTCCTCAACATTAAAACTTGAAAAGCGCTGTATAAAGTCAAGTCAAGCTAATATGTAAATTCCTTTTGTTGTTGTTACCTCCCAGTTGCATTCCAGATTATAGTGTTATCATAGTGCAATAGTTTTGTTCTTAAACTGTATAGTGTAATGAAAGTGTTATCACACTGTATATCGAAGTGTAATCATAGTGTTATGATGTTGTTAAAGTGTCATGAAAGTGGCATCATAAGTGTTATCACATTGTAATCAAAGTGTAATCGTACCGGTAGTGTTGTTGCGTCATGAGAGTTGTATCATAGAGTTATCACATTTTAAATCAAAGTGTTATTAAAATCTTGTTGTTTAGTGAAAGTGGTATCACAGTGTTATCACACTGTTATAAAAGGGTTATTTTAATATAATAGTGATGTTATAGTTTTATCATCTGCAGGTACAATGTAATCAAAGTGTTACCATAGTGTTATCAAAGTGTAATCAAAGCGTAATTATAGTGTTTTGCCATGAAACTGTGGATATAGAGAAACCACACTGACAGGGTGTGATCCAAGTGTTTATTTAGAATCACACTGTGATCATCATATAATAAAATCATAGTTCACACAGCACAGAACGTAAAGTGATAAGATTACCTGAAGTGTCAAAGCCCAATATTAAACATTCCATCCTCCTAACTGTTTTTAAATTGGTACAGAAGAGTCTCTGCGTTTACATGATCTTTCTGCTTTGCCGGAGCCACCCTCAAAGCGAACTGCCGAGCCTCAAATAGAATGGATCCAAAAGGACAACATCTCCAATCGTCGGAGGTGGAAGAAACTTGGGGGCGGGGCTTTCACATCTGTCTACAGGGGGGAAATTAGACACAGGGACAAGGGGTGGATCCAGGTGGCCATTAAGTGTCCAAATAAAGAAGCTTCACAACAGGTGCAACAGGTATGTGGGGCTTGTTTCCTTCAGATTCCTTTGGTATCCTTTACTTTCCTAAGCTTACTTTTGCTTTACATTTGCTTTACCTTGCTTTCCTTTGCTTTCCTTTGCTTTCCTTGCCTTCCTTGCCTTCCTTGCCTTCCTTTGCTTTCCTTTGGGTTTCCCTTTGCTTTCCTTGGGTTCCCTTGGGTTTCCTTTTCCTTTCCTTGGGTTTTTCTTGGCTTCCTTTACTTTCCTTGCCTTCCTTGCCTTCCTTTGCTTTCCTTTGGGTTTCCTTTTGCTTTCCTTGGGTTCCCCTGGGTTTCCTTTTCCTTTCCTTGGGCTTTCCTTGGTTTCCTTTGCTTTTCTTGGGTTTCCTTCTTTCCCCCTTTGGTTTCCCTTTGCTTTCTTTTGCTTTCCTTGGGTTTCTCTCGGTTTCCTTGGCTTTCCATTTCTTTTCGTTGCTTTCCTTGGTTTTACCTTTGTTTCCTTGGCTTACTGTTGCTTTGCTTTGCTTTCCTTGGGTTTCCCTTGATTTTCTTGTCTTTCCGTTGCATTCCTTTCAATTCCTTTGCCTTCCATGGTTTTCCCTTGGTTATATTAACTCAGGTTTCCATGGGCTTCCTCTGCTTTCCTTGGCTTTCCCTTTGTTTCCTTTGCTTTCATTTGCTTTCCTTAGTTTTCCTTGGGTTCCCTTGGTTTCTTTTGTATTCCCATACTGGGGTAGCTTCTGTTTCCTTCAGTTTGGTGGAATGAAGGACCAAAGAATTGTCTCTGTATGAAAACTGAGATGATATGTATTGCCACTCCATCAACTAAATCATTTTACATGTACACCGCAAAACCTACCTTAAAAGTGAAAGCGTTAGGCCAGTATTGTCCAAAGTAACTACTCCGTGCACAATGTATGTGTAGGTCTGCCGTTACTGGAGGTCTATGTGAGCATACAGTACTGTGTCCGGATTTGTCCATAGCTTTAAACTTGAACCCTCCTGCTGTCTGAACAGTCATAGACAATCAAAAATCAATCCTCTTGCCCTGCCATGCCTTTTACACAGGCTATAGTCACAAACAGTCAGAGCATATTTCAAGCATAAGCACTGTGACTTCCTAATCAAATTCAGTCAACAGACAAAAGCAGGCAAGTGGTAGGCACAGCTGGCTTATCAATCACCTACATGTACAGTCAAAGCATAGCTGTCAAGTCACATAAACAGTCACAGTCAGTCAATCCTGCTTTATGTAGGCTGGGAGCTCTTAACTGTTAAAGACAGTCACTTGACTGATTTTGACTGAAAGGGCAACTTTGCACAGTTTATGTTTGAATAGGAGGGAGGGATTTGAGCAATAAACTTTTAATTGGTGACAATTTATTTCTCTGCCCCAGAAATTCAGTCAGTCCGTTGACGTCATGTCGTCATGGAGCAACCAGTCCATCATCAAGTTTATCGGCATTGGGGCCGGCTTCAGTCTGATCATGGCGTTTGCGCCGTTTGGTGCCTTGGACAAGTTTCTCCAGACGAACCAAGCGGTGGTACGATTGAGCGACCAGGTTGCCATGGCAGTACAGTTGATTGATGCGCTGGAATACCTGGTATGGTGCGAAGTCGGACTGCGACAGATATTCAGATATATTTGAATTTTCAGAAGCACAAATAGTGTTGTACATGTTCATGTATATTCCTGCTGTTTTGAATATCCTAAATCAAATCAAATCAAATCAAATCAAATTCAAGTTTATTATCCACACTAAAAAGTATAGAAATTCAGCTTACACAGGCATTTCTGAACAATGACATTACAGAAAAATACTAATAAAGCCAATACATAGTACAACATACACAAATCACTAAACTCACAAAAAAATATACCAATGCAATACACTAGACATTGAGAGGACCAGGATAAATTGCACAAATAATTCTTAAGTGAACATACTAGCACACAACAATAAAAAGCCAACACCATGCAAATGACATATTACAGTAATATTGGATTATTGAAATGTTTTTATTACGGATACCAGTATGTGCCAGATACTCGGATATTGAAATATTCCGACATATTGTTGTACGTGTATATTTTGCTGTGTTGAATATTCTAATATTCAAATACCTGACTATTGAAAAATATATACGATTACATTAATGATGTGGTTATTATTGACACATATATATGTTTGAAAAATGGGATACTGATAAATGGTTATTTGAATATGTGTCATTCTGCAAATTTTTCCTGTTTTCCTGTCCGTGTTACATCTGAGATCAATGAGTTTTTAAAATAAAATTTGCCCATACACTACTTGGACCTCCAAGAGTGATAATAAGTAGCAAACTACCTACCCAACAAATGAAAAATCATTCTTAATGATACTTGAGTGGTAAATTACTAAGTACCAAGTTAACAGGGACAGGAAAATGTCACAAAGAACGTTGGACACTAAATTTATAAAATAACCCATATATTTGTTTTTGCCGAATATCCTTGCATGTCTGTTGAAATACTTGGACATGTACACCTGACAATTTGAAGAAATTTACCCAATCTCTTTTTTTCCATCAATATATTGATTTTGAAACATTCATGTGATGCGATCAAGCTATATGAGTCGTTTGTCGGGAATTTTCATTTGGAGATACGGGCCAAAATGGGGCCACTTCATCACATCACTTCATCACATATCTTGGTGTTCCGACTCCCATAATTTTTGAACTAAAGCTGGTATCAGCATGCGATGTTCACAGCAGTAATGCTGAGATTGTGCTCTTTTCAAATCTGTAATAAAAAAAAAAATGTTGACCGGAGTCGACAAACGACTCATTTAGCTTGATCGCATCACATATTTTGAGGGTATTCTGAATGTGATCATGTGGGTAATTTTCTCTGCCGTTAGGAATCACGGAAGATTGTCCACGGGAATATATGCGCCCACAATGTACTTGTTGTCAGGAGCTTGCCCCGAATCAGGGTCAAGCTGGGTGACCCCATGCTCAGCAGATACTACCACAGCTTACAGATGCCCAGAAAACTGAAATGGTGAGATGGACAAACTGACAGACCGACTGACCGTGGGCGTCAATCGGTGGGGGTCAGAGGGGCCAAGTCCCCCCTTCCCCACTTGTTAAAGTGTGTGTGTGTGTGGGGGGGGGGGTATATTGTTTGCCCCCAACACTTTTTTCATCCCTGAATATAAATTGTAGCCTACATAATGATTCTAAGGCCAAAAAAAAAAAGTCTCTGGATTCTGGTATGGAGCTTGTCCAAAAAGTGGTGCGGCGACGCGGCTTTTTTTTTTTTTTACCTGACTTTTTTTTTTTTTACCTGACTTTTTTGCTTCAAATGTCGGCTGGTGACTGCAAATGGTGCCCGACTAAACTTAGTGCAAATATATGGGAGTCCAGAGAGGCCACATAAAGCTTATTTTCGATCATAACCCCATCTAAAAACACGTTGAAATTGCGCAGCAGCAGAATTCCAGTCAAACCAGTGAGTTTGGAGGTTTTGAGGCATCATCTTTCATTGAAAAAAAAAACTTGTTCATTTTGCCGACGCGCATGGCTACGGCGACGCGCGCGCATACCAGAAACCGGAGACTTTTTTTGAGACTCAGGGTAGTGGAAGTACCATTTTCTTTGGGCCACCAAGTACAGTTGAGTTGTTTTTTTCAGTGAAACGAAATCAATTCATATGCATCCCTATGAAAATTGTTTTTGATTAGCTGAAGGAACGCTTACTTTTGTGTGATCCGTGGGCAGAACTTTAAAACGGTGTTAAGATGGTGGTCAAAATTCCGTAACTCGAAAAGTACATCAGTGATTTGAATAATTCTTGTATAACAAGAAAGCTTAACCCTAATTCCCTAGCCTGATTTATTAGGAACCATACCCATTCTGGCAAATTCCAAAACACCATATGGGAAACTGCACACACAAAATTTCTGACTTTGATTCTGGAGGTGTGTCAACCCAATGCAAAAGACTGCCAGTTTAGGGGTATCGTCATCAGTCCACCTAAAATGACGAGGATCTATTTCGAGGCACGTGCATTCAATTTACGTTGGACAATGCGCGCGCGTTGCAAGCGTTACCTGCACCGATTATGGTGACTCGCGGATACAGTACCCATCCTGACAGATTCCAACAAAACATGTTGTTGGGATTTGATGGGTTGAGTTCTGTTGGGGTTATGACTGGGCTTTCTATCCTAGATAGAAAGGCAATAATTCATTCAAAAATTGGTCCTGCCTGTTGAGTTTCGTGTATAGTGGTGCTCTGTAGAGCATTGAGTTTCTATATCATGGTGTTGTTTCTCCTATTCAGGGTGCGTTGGATAGCTCCTGAGTTGTTGCGAACCAACGCTGAGCCCACGTTGGAGAGCGATCGCTGGAGCTTTGGCATGACTCTCTGGCAGATCATGGCTATGGGCAAGATTCCCTTTGAGAACAGGTCTGACAATGAGGTAGGCTGCTCATCCAATTAATGGTCCGGGGTGAGAATTTGTCAGGATTATTCCTGATTTTGGGTCGTTTTTTTTTTTGTATTACAAGGATTTTTCCTGATTTTAGGAAATTTGTGGGTAAGGATTTTTCCCACTTAAGGGATTTTTGTCAGGATTTTCCTGCTTTCAGAATCTTTGGTCAGGATTATTTTTCAGATTTAAGGATTTTTCCTGACTTAAGGATTGTTGGTCAGGATTTTTCCTGCTTTTGGGATTTTTGATCAGGATTTTTTTTTTTTTGATTGAAGAATTTTTCCTGATTTCCTGGTTCTGAAGCACAGCCCTAATGCACGAGCATCCATGATGTTGCCTTCATTTGTGCTATCTGTTAGTTTAAGACGTCACAGCATACAGAAGTCATATCTAAACTGGGGAATATATGTTCACCCAGGAATAAATCTTAACCAAAGAGTATATTTCTTGTGCAATCTGGGCATCAGAGGTTTTTTTTTTTTAATACCAAGGTTTTGCAATTGTACACAAACGACAAGTTCCCACCATTGAGTCCCCACTACACTGAGGCCATTAACACGCTGATCAAGAACTGTTGGCATCGAGTCCCCAGTGATCGGTACACCTGTAAACACCTGTTGATGGACCTCAACCGCATCTATATGGGTGAGTTCATCACATCCGATCCCGTTAGCTCAGTGGTCAAGTGGTAAAACATCTGCACTAGAAAGCAGGAGGTCGTGGGTTTGAGTCCCACCCGAGTGATTTTTCCAACTTTCACTCGGGGAGGTAACACTGAGTATACAGTGTTTATACGCCGGTGAAAGGCAAATCCTTATTTGATTTATACATCACCCTGATGCTAAATTCCATCTTAAGAATAGTTAATGCGGTACCCGCTGCTGTGTACATCAGATTCGAACCAGCCAACCGATCTCGTCAGCTCGATGGTCGAGTGGTAAGACATCTGCTCTAGAAAGCAGGAGGTCGTGGGTTGGAGTCCCAGCCAGTGATTTTACCAACTTTCACTCGGGAGGTAACACACTGAGTATACAGTGTTTAGGCAAATCCTAATTTGATTTATACATCACCCTGATGCTAAATTCCATCTTATGAATAGTTTATGCAGTACCCGCTGCTATGTACATCAGATTCGAACCAGCCAACCGATCCGTTAGCTCGGTGGTCGAGTGGTAAGACATCTGCTCTAGAAAGCAGGAGGTCGTGGGTTGGAGTCCCAGCCAGTGATTTTACCAACTTTCACTCGGGAGGTACACGTAATACACTGCATATACAGTGTTTATACGTCGGTGAAGGGCAAAACCTAATTTGATTTACATCACCCCGACACTAAATTTCATCTTCAGAATAGTTAATGCGATACCCGCTGCTATGTACATCAGATTCGAACCAGACAACCGATTCCGTTAGCTCGATGGTTGAGTGGTAAGACATCTGCACTAGAAAGCAGGAGGTCGTGGGTTCGAGTCCCAGCCAGTGATTTTACCAACTTTCACTCGGGAGGTAATACACTGAGTATACAGTGTTTATACGTCGGTGAAGGGCAAAACCTAATTTGATTTACATCACCCCGACACTAAATTTCATCTTAAGAATAGTTAATGCGATACCCGCTGCTGTGTACATCAGATTCGAACCAGACAACCGATTCCGTTAGCTCGATTCCGTTAACTTTTGTATACGTGCAAGTTGTGGTTCACACTCGCCTCGCACGTATACAAAAGTGCAACTTTTTTTTGGTACCATTTGTCTTAAATCGCATAATTTTGTACACATTATCACTGTTTTGGGCAAAACAAAGAGTATGGCTGGATTGCTAAGGAATTTCTGTACTGATTAGTCGTAATTTGAGCAAGATGTGCGCAGTAGTTTTGGAGTTAGACAAAAAAGTATTAAGGGGGGACTTTCTTTTTTGGTTGAGTGTATCAAAATCCATAGCGTTTGCCTTATGGTGTACTTTGATTTCAAAAGACTTCCTTATGGGGTCTGTTGTTCTATTGTGTTTTGTACCCCATAAGGATGAATGTACAAGAGGATGTTGTAAGAGTTGTGTCATGTCATGGGAACTGTCATGGTTGCAGGGCCTTTGTGTTTTTAACACTACTTTTAATAAGATGGAATTTTACGTCGGAGTGATGTAAATCAAATTAGGAGTCGTCAGAAAACTTGAGCAACGGGCCGGGTGTTTTTTCCTTTTATTCCTTTGGGAAATAGCCATCTATCGCTCTTCAACATTCAAACAAAATGTAAACATGGGTCGTTTGATGTTCGGATTTAAAAGTGGCCCAAATACCAGTAGTGTTTAATACAAGTCATGTACACCCGGTAGATTTTTTGTTAATCTGTTGACTTTTTTCCCACACCAATGTTCGGTACGTTTTGTACATTAAAACCGGGAGCCAAGGATGATGTTCGGTATAGCCAAATGTTCGGTATAGCGGTGTTCGGTATAACTGCGTTCCACTGTAACACAATGAGTATACAGTGTCGATACGTTGGGGAAGAACAGAACCTAATATGAACACTACTTTTCTTAAGTAAGATTTGAGGCTTTGCATGGTGGAGATACTAAATAATGAAAGGTTTGCGGAAACGCCATGATTTTCTCAACTAAGAGAATGGTTCTGAAAAGAACCAGAGGTATTAACTCGACGTTCCGGTCAGTATGCTCTGACCGTCTTGTCCTGAAGACGGTCAAAGCATACTTTTTGTCTAACTCAAAAGCTACTGGGCACATCCAAGGGCGGATCCAGGGGGGGGGGGGGGCCAAAGGCGGCCATGGCCCCCCCCCCCCAAAACGAAACCAATTTTTTTTTTTTTTTATGTGACATCGCAATTAAGGCAGGCAATGAGTACACCACCATCTTTTCCTCAAAAAAAAATTGGTTAAAGTGGTCAGAAATTGCCTCAGATCGCACCACAGAGCATCTAGAATCCAAAAAAATGTCTGGGCCCTTAAGCGGGCCCCGAACCCCACGCCGTAATTTTTTTGACCCACTTTTTTGGGGGACCAAAAATTTTTTTGGCCCCCCAAAAAATTGTGTTCTGGATCCGCCCTTGGGCACATCTTGCTCAAATTACAACTGATCAGTACAAGCGATCCAGCCATACTCTTTGTTTGGCCCAAAACAGTGATATTGTGTACAACATTATGCAATTTTATGGTACCGAAAAAAAATGTTACACTTTTGTACATGTACTTTTCTTGTTTGGCATTGGATCAGGAGTGCAAGAGGGGGACGAAGCGGCTGCCATGCATTGGGAGGTGCTTGATGAGGAAGACGGCCCAGAGCCAATCCTGGAGGACCTCTCTGAAGGGGAGGAGGGTGGAGACGAAAGTTGGAACGATGGAGATCTGATGGACGATTCATGGCAAGGTGAGAAGATGAAGAGCATATAGGGTGGTGCATAAAGAAGGAAACCCTCTTTGATAAGAATTTTAACTTACTGAACTTAGGCCAAAAAAAAATATTCGGTCTCTGGTCAGACCAAAGTTCCAGAATTGACGCGGCCACGCGGATTTTTTTTTTTTTTCTTTTTTTTTTTTCTTCAAGCTTGGATTGTACAGACAAGGTGGGTACTATTTTGCTTTTTTGGTGTCCTCATGTACATTGGTGTCCTTCATAATTTGCCTGGGTGCAATTTCCCATTCCTTGGTGCTCTTTGGTAAAAAAAATTGAGGTGCGGAAATAGAGGGCGCTGTTGGAGCTACCGCGGAACATTTTGGGAAAAAAAAAAGATCGACGCGCATGATTAAAATCGACGCGCGCTGACCAGAGACCGACTTGTTTTTTTTTTTTGGCCTTCAACTTTTTTTTTTTTAATAATGCAGTGAAGTAAAGGTCTCCAACCATACCCATCCATGGTGAATAAATCTTTTAAAAAATCGCAAGGGGAGTTACATGTAGGTTGGCCTCGACCATATGATACTATGGGGGAGTGGGGAATGTGCATAAACATATATACAAGTCTAGTGGATATACGTGGGGGGGTCAGGTTGGCGTAGCAGTACTTTCCTCGCCTTCCACCGCTGTGACCCGGGTTCGAATCCGGCCTGGGTCAATATGTGGATTGGGTTTTCAGCCCCTGCCTGATTCCGTGGGGTTTTCCCCAGAATATTCTTCTGGGCTTTTCCTCCGACCTCTAAAACTGTCATTTCTTCTCATTGTCTCCTCTTCACAGGTTTCTTCAGGCTTGCGAGCTACAGTGCCTAGGGCGCTTTTGAGGAATCCTTGGTTTCATTACCAGAAATGATTGATAATAATAATAATACTAAGAAGAAGAAGAATAGTGTTGTGCTAATTTGAATATAAGTCACCAAAATCACTTTTGTCGTGCAAGTCTAGTGTAGTCATGGTAGTGTTGTTTGTCTTCAAATCAAGCTCCGGAGCTGGAATAAAGCCGTCTGTGGACAAACAGATTTGGCACATGAAAAATTTAAACTACCGTAGACAAAATAAGCATTTGCAATCATTGGCATAGCGCACACACTGTTAAAACCAACAGGTCAATGGACCCAACCATTTGATACTATGGGGGAGTGGGGAATGAGCAATAACATATGCAATTCCAGTGGATATACATGTATTCTATTGGGTGTACTGACAAGGGGCTGTTTTAACCGGTATATTGTGTCACTTTCTGTTTTTTTATTCGTATAGTTCCATCGTTCTTCAACAATACGATGCCCACTTACCCAGGACAAGGTTCCAATCAGGTATTTCAGCTTTAAATTTACATATGTGATGCGATCAAGCTAAATGAGTCGTTTGTCGGGAATTTTTATTTGGAGATACAGGCCAAAATAAGATTACTTCATCACATCACTTCGTGACATATCTTGGTGTTCCGACTGCCATTATTTTTGAACTGAAGATGGTATCAGCATGGGGTTTTCACAGCAGTAATGCTGAGATTGTGCTCTTTTCAAATCTGTAAAAAAATAAAAATTGACCACGGTCGACAAACAACTCATGTAGCTTGATCACATCACATCTGCAGTTTTCTTGTATTTTTTTTCCTGAGATTTTAATTTTCCCATTCCTAAATACCTGACACAGTTTTCCCCATCATTCCTATTGGAAGAGCTCATCATGCGAATGGTTTTAAACCACTGATAAAATATTTGCTGGTTTTTAACACAATTCTCGCATTCTGCGCCACATCTTGCATTCTGCGCCACATTGTGCAGTATGTGCCATGTGGGCGCCAATCTCCATATAAGGAGATTTTTAGTACTTATGCATGTGAGGCGAATACCATGAACATGGCCAGAGGGATATGTTTCACAAAACATGAAGTAAATTGTTGAACAAAATTATTGGAAATTTGTGAATTTTGACTTGCTCTGACTTTTTGACCAAATATATTGATGAATGGGAATAAATATGTGCTTGGCTGGTTTCGAACAAGTACGTTTTGATAAATCTGGATTGTATATTGTATATTATCTTAAGCAAACTTGAATCCTCGATCCTGATTGGTCGATCCATGGCAACAAGCCGTGCTACATATTACCATACCGCACGGCCACGGTCCATACCGCACTCCGCGTATTGCGCTATTCTAAGCCTACGCGACGCGATTAGTGCTGCACAATTCACTGTGAATTCAAAAGTTGCGCGTAGGTTGCGTGTTCCAACTTTACTGTGCGTCAAGTTTGCTTGAAGATAAATTCGTTATCGCGCTCGCGCTCGTGGAACACGGAAAATGTAGTGCGTCTGTGTCCCACATACCACTCGGCCTTCGGCCTCGTGGTATGTGGGACACAGACGCACTACATTATTCCGTGTTCCACTCACGCTCGCAAGATAACTAATATAATATATATATTACCGTAATCCTTCTGTCTTTCTATTTATTATGATGTACTTTACATTTATTGTTGATTCTTTAATGCGCTTTTGATCAATTATATGCAAAAAGCGTATTATAAATTTAAATTACTATTATTGTTATTATTATTGTAATCCCACCCTACCGGTTCCACCTTTGCGCAGTTTTGTTGTGTAAAGAAAACAAAAATGGCACAAAAAGTAAATGATTGGATGTACATGTACATTAATTTTGCAATTTTTATTACTAACTGCAGAATGACGGATATCCAAGCACGGGGCGGCTGATGAAGTTCTATGGCATCGATAGGGTTACAGAGGGAACATTGGAGATAATTGGAAGTCCCATCGGGAAGGTGAGTACCTGAGTCACTGAAGTGGCTGACAGTGCCCTCATCTATGTTTAACCTTTCGTACTGATTGACTGTCACTTTCACTTACACTGGTCTTGGACCAGCTATCCGCTCCGTTCACAAGTACCCCCTCACCGGCAAAGAAAGTACAGTTGGGGGTGACTGAACGACGCCATCTTGCCTGACTGCAATATTTTGCTGTGAAGCGCAGCCACTGCGTGTACATAGTAGAAATCCCCTGGTGTACTTGCGTCACACACAAGGAACGTGTTCATCTTTTCAACCATGAACAAAATATATCAGAGAACAAAAAAGAACAATATCGTCCACGATTCCCAGCATACGTCCGCAATTGGGGTCGTGTACAAAACCTATGGGAGTCTTTGTAAAAAGTACAAACAAAAGAGGGACAATAGGATGTCCACGATCGACGGTGAACACACGTTTGTGTGTGCGCGCGTCAACAAGCGAAATGTATGTGTCCCGCTCATGGGACGTCGTTGCTAGGTAAAAGGGCGCCCTCTTGGCACGGACCCCATACGAGGCTTGTTTATTCGTATGAGTAAACCCATGCATGATGTTTGTGATGTAGCTACACCACATGTCTATTGCTACTTTTTTCCTGTACGTCCACGAGATGATTTTGCCTTTAAAATACCAGGGTCTTTTCCATTCCAAGATTTTGTTGTTTATATTTTTTTACTCTGCCCATGTACCGTAACACTATCTGGAAGATCCCTTAAAGCTACAGTCCATCATTTGTAATTTGTGCATTTTGTTCGTTTGAAGCAACAAAAGAGTTCAAAATCTAATGAAGGATAATGAGCAACTAACCTGATGAAGTTTCAGCTCAGCTTCAGCTGAACATTCCGAGAAAAACAGCATTCTAAGATCTCAATTTCAAATCAAAAGTTACTGAATCATGTTTTGAATTGTTTTGAATTGCAGCTATACGCGACGTCGCGCACTGATCCGACGAATTACAACAACCGCGCGCGCGTGTGCGTCGTTCCAATACTTGTGCGCGCTGCACTGAATAACAAAACGAACTACCGTATTAATTAAATTTTCCTACGGTGCTTCTTAAGAATCACCGTTCGAAAGGCCTTCTTTCGTTGATTACTTCAAAATGACAGCTTCCCAGAAAGAATAATTTCACAGGGAGTTTAGTCCCCTTACTATCTTTCAACCAAGTATGTTTTTGAACAATAATTACGCCAGTTACTTTTCGGATGGCTGCAAATGATGGACTCTAGCTTTAAGGCTACTTGCCAAACCACAGGTGGTCGTCCGGGCCATCCCCTCTGGACACACACACAAATATAAACAGGCCACATAAATACATTTACAGCTCAATAATTGAGGATTTCCAGTTTTTGTGCACCAATTTAAACAATAAAAACATGAAAGACTGTTTCATTTCTGGGCTTAAAAAAAACATGTAACACTAGATTTACTGAAAATGTGCCAGTATCATTGCACGGGTGCAGTTGAAATACCGAACTGGCATATTGAATAGCATGGGCGTAGCGAGGGGGGGCAAGGGGGGGCACTTGCCCCCCCCCCCCCCCCCCCCCCGGAAAAGCAAAAAAAAAAAAAAAAAAAAAAAAAGGAAGAGGAAAAAGAAAAAGAGGCGCGAAGACAAAGTGGTGTAAATTTAATGAGTGGGGGGGGGGGGGGGGGGGCAAAATGTCCCTGCCCCCCTCTAAAACTGATAAATCGAGAATGTGTTGAGAAATACAAGCATTTTTTGGCAAAACAATTTTTTGCCACCCTCTAGAAAAAATCCTGGCGACGCCCATGTTGAATAGAATTTTGTGTGCTTTGGGACCTGTGTAACTGGGCTTGCGTTGCTCTGTTTTTTTGCGTTTTTTTTATCTTAGGGTAACTTTGGGTTTGTCTATCAAGGCGTCTGGACTCGAGGTCCTATGAACTACTTACCGGTGGCCATCAAAGAAATCAGAAGAGAAAAGTCAACAGAGCAAGAACTGCAACAATTTGAGAAAGAGATCGAACAGCTGTCCAGTTTTGACCACAAGAATATCGTCAAGGTGCTGGGGGTCATGGAAGGTGGGTACCAGTCTTTCTTCGTATTTCTCTGTAAATTTATAGGGATGAGATTGTCAATTTGAAAACAAGGACTCGAGAATTGGATGAAATGCATTCTTTTCAGGCATTCCTATATGGGCCTTATGCACAAGTTTGCCATTTTTGTCGTGTTCCCTGAATGTATTTCATTAATTGTGAACTGTTGAATGGGATGGTGCCAGACTATTTATTCACTATCGCCTCACTTATCTTTTTTTTTTTAAAATGTGGCTTAAAACAGAGTTTTCTAGTTACAAATTTTAAGTGATTCATCAGAGCAGACTGGTATTAATTTGTAACGTCATTGCTTTTATTTCTCTACACAAGTTCCAGAAATGAAGATTTTACCTCATTCTCAATCCAATATGGCTGACTCGTGAATGAGGTCAATAGACTAGTTCAGCGAACAGAATTAGAAGCCATTGTTCCACTTCCAATCCATTTGCATGCCGCACGTGTAGTTAAAAACAACTGCGTAACCATTTTGGTAACCTACCTGAGTGCAACTTTATCTCGGCAGCCTGGTTCCATTCATTAGTGAAGTTTTTACTTTTTTCAATGACTGCCCACTATTTATAAAGTCAGTCATTGTTGATTTGTCATATCAATCACTCCGGTCTGTGGATATAATGGGCAGGCATCAGCTTTTGTGAATTGAAAGAGCCAAACGTTTAAATGTTTCTTAAAATATTTTTGCTCATTTTTTACAAAATTAAACACGACGTCACATCCTTAGGTGATACAAATGTAGAAGTGATATCGTGCCCGGATTGGTCAGTACAGAGATGCCACTTTTCTGGTTCATACCAGAATTCCGGTTTTTCCAGCCTGGCACAACGTTGTTCATTGAAGTAGTCTTAAAAACAAGTCTTTGTTGTTGCTGAGCCTGCATGCGATACAGGCGGCCAACTATGTACATGTAATTGGGTGCAGTATACAACGGCACCTCACGTGCATGCACTGTGTGCGGGTGTGGTGTGTGAAACACACACATTTCATTCAGCCTGGAAATCAAGCCTATCATTTCAGTTATCAGTGGATTCCAATTGCAGTGATATATGTGAACACACATATATTGTTATAAGTTCTTAGTCCCAAATCTTAATTCCTTGTATCTTAGTCTTAAATTAATTGGTGAAATAAATTATTGTTATTAGTTTGGAAATCCTCACAAAATTTAACAAGCATTATTTCTGTAGCCAGGACAAGTTTTGCCTGGCGGCCAGAGTTTTAATTTGCAACCCAAGTTTCATTGTATTTTTTGCTCTGGTTGTATTTGCACAGCTGGGCCGGATAACCCACTGCGTCTGGTCATGGAGTATTTACCCCTTGGAGCTCTGAGTGAATTCATGCTAGGAAAGCGAGAGAAAAAGTTGGTAGTCAGTCTGTCGACGATGTTGACATTTGCACAGCAGGTGGCACAGGTGGGTGCACAAACTCTTATTTAACTATACTCCCGAGGACAATGCTTTGTGTTTTCCTCTGTCCCTGTAATATGACCCACTTCCATAGACTAAGCATTTACCTCTTGGTATAGAACACGTAGACAATGTTGACATTGGCACAGCAGGTGGCACAGGTGGGTGCACAAACTCTTGTTTTACTATATTCCTGAGGACAATGCTTTGTGTTTTCCTCTGTCCCTGTAATATAATACACTCCCATAGACTAAGCATTTACCTCTTGGTATAGAACACGTAGACAATGTTGACATTTGCACAGCAGGTGGGTGCACAAACTCTTGTTTTACTATACTCCCGAGGACAATGCTTTGTGTTTTCCTTTGTCCCTGTAATAAAACACACTCCTTTGGACTAAGCACACAAACCTTCCACAGAGGACCGTAAGACCCAACTCCTGAGGACTGAAAGGATCTGTTGTTCTCCCTTTGTGTGTCTGTCCTAGGGGGTTATGTAGAACAAGTACACACAACCTTACATGCATTAACTTGTGGGAAGAGCTTTGTTTTCCTTCTTTTGTTCCCCTTTCCTCCCCCTTTCCTCCTATTGAAATCTAAAACTCTATGGCGCTTCCCTTATGGGGAAGACATAGAAAAGACTCCCTTGTGGGGTCTTTCGTTCTATTTTGTTCTATTGAACATTGCTCTTTCATTTTTTCCTCTTTATTCTGTGCATACAGCATACCATTATTTGATGCACAATGTGTTCTTGTGTTCTTTTTGTGTCTTGTAATGTTTGATTTGTTGTCTTTGTAGAAAAGACGTTTCTACATATTAAAGCCTTTTGGTCTTTTGAATATGCCTCCATATCAGCCGCCCCCTTTTTTGTGAAAGTCTATCTTGTAAATTCTCCCTCTGAATGTATCTCTGTATAATTGTCATCATTATTTATTGACTATTGTGTCTTGGTGTACATGTATATTCTTGTTCTGTGGTCCAATGGTTATGGTGTTGGACTCGTGTGCCGTGGTACATGGGTTCAAATCCTGACTGTGGGAACATGGTGCTTGTGCTCTTGAGCAAGGCACTTTACCATTATTTGCTTCATCCTTCGGATGGGACATAAAGCCGTAGGTCCCATGTGTTGTGTAATGCACGTTAAAGAACCCAGTTACACTTATCGCTAAGAGAAGGGGTTTGCCCTGGTGTTTCTGGCAGTGGCTGCAATATGCGCCGCAGCACCTCGTAAACCATGGTTCTCATACCGTATTTCAAATGTACTTCATTTACCTGTCTCTAGTAATAGACATAATTTCCAGCGCCTTGAGTACCTAATTGTTGGTAGATAGGTGCGCTATATAAGACTTCGGTATTGTTATTTATCTTCAAGTAAACTTGAATCCTCGGTCCTGATTGGTCGATCCATGGCAACAAGCCGTGCTACATATTACCATGTAGCACGGCCACGGTCCATACCGCACTCTGCGTATTGCGCTTTTCTAAGATGCAAGCCCCACTCCGTACAACACGCACGTGCAACAGGATAACTGCTGAAAAGTTTGTGTACAGTGTGCGTGTTCCATCTTTACTGTGCGTCAAGTTTGCTTGAAGATAAATTCGTTAACACACTCTCGCTCGTGGAACACGGAAAATGTAGTGCCCCTGTGTCCCACATACCACGAGGCCGAACTACATTATTCAGTGTTCCACTCGCACTCACGGGATAACTTATAGTATATGTCTATTTGAATTGCATTAAATTGAATGAACATTTTGATAAACCTTTTCAACATCAAATGTAGATACCCATTCTCAGCGAACAAGTTTTGTGTTGTGTTTTGAAGGGTATGGCATATCTGGGAGTAATGAACGTAGTGCACAGGGATCTGGCTGCGCGTAATGTCCTGGTGGCCTCAGACGCATCAGATACCACGGAGCCGGAAGTCAAGATCAGCGATTTTGGCCTTGCACGGAAGTACACCACCGAAGGGTATTATGAAACCTCCGGACAAAACAGACAGCTGCCCCTCTTGATGTGAGTAGTCTGACAAAATTTATTGCTCGAAATGTATAACTCGGAAAATTAAATGCACTGCCTATTTGGGGTGTCCTTTTCAATGCATTGTTTGTATTGTGTCAATACGGACAACCTTTTTGAGTTCCACAAAACCTAAACAGAAATTATATTTTTTTTCTATTTTGTTCCAAGCGTTGTCAAAGTTTATACACATGTATGTAATTAGCAATTTGTTGCCAATCATTCTTTATTTTGTAGAAAATTATGATTAGATCTTCATATTGTATCTAATTTAGGACACCAGCGGTTAAATCTTTCGTTGGTTTGAATTCTTATCTACGTGGTATGCAGAGCATGTACCACACGCCATTTCATGCTTGAGTGCCAGCAAGTTGTGCTGGCAGATCCCAGTTTGTGTTTGGATAAGAACATTCCAGCAACCTTGTTTAAGTGAAAATATTATTCATAGAATTTGCAATTTTTTTATGCATGAATAAAGGCCGAATGTATTGCTCATGTAAGGTGAACAGATTCCTTGGAATCTTAGCTCAATGATATTTGGGCCGATCTCAATTCACATTGGGGACGAGTTCCAGATAAGCTCCGGACATTGTATCCGATGTAAGTTGCAGGGTTCTGAACAACTTCCCTGCAATCTTCCTGCAGTGAAAGTTGTCAGTGTTGGTCAGTCAAGTAGATGTTAACGAAAATTTTGTCGGAGCATGTTCGGGACACATGCAGAGCTTCTTCTGAACAAAGTGATTCTACCTGCAGTTTGTCGGGAGCTCGTTCCAGATGTTAATTGAGATGAGCCCTTACCTTGTTTACGGCCTGAAAACGTAATCGCGGGAAATTTCAGGGGAGATTTTCTGGATTGTGCAATTATAATGCCTAGTACAATGGACCTATTGACCTGACGTTTCGTGGATGTCGAGCTCTGTTAGTATTTGACATGTTAGATGCTTCATTCAGCCACCTGTGTTTGATGCTGTTTTGGTTTTGATTTATGCAGGTACGCCATTGAATGCATTTGGCCTGATCGGGCCAAGTTCAGCAGCATGAGTGATGTCTGGAGCTTCGGCATTCTCCTGTGGGAAATCTTCTCCTACGGTGCAAAACCAGTGTGAGTCAGGCTATCCAGTAATAGACAAATCCACTAGGCCCTGCCCACTGTGCACACAGGCAAAACAGGTCCCCCCCCCCCTACTGAGCAAACAGGAAACAATTAATAGATGAAACCTTGTCGCCCCCCCACTGAGATTTGAGTTTCTAAAAAAATTATCATTGATCTACATGACGCCCCCCATGAAATGTTCCAGCCCCCCCAGTGCCCCCCCCCCCCCCCACTGAAAAATTCCTGGCTACGCCACTGGCAACAAAACATGCCCCTCCTCAATACATGCAGGCAACAAAACACACCCCTCCTCAATACATGCAGGCAACAAAACACGCCCCTCAATATATGCAGGCAACAATACACACCCCTTCTCAATACACGCAGGCAAAAAAACATGCCCCCTCCTCAATACACGCAGGCAAAAAAACAAGCCCCTCCTCATTACACGCAGGCAACAGAACTACCTCTGCAATATACACAGGCAACAATAAAATACTGCTCCTCATCACATGCAGGCAACAGAACATGCCCCTCCTCAATACATGCAGGCAACAACGCGTGCCCTTTCTAACTGCATGCATGCAAACAACATGTGACCCTTCTCAATACACGCAGGCAACAAAACAGGCCCCTCCTCAATACACACATGCAAAACACTGCACTAATGTCACACTGCAGCTTAAAACTGTCTTTGATGTTTTTTGCTTGTTTGCATTTGCGCCTCTTTAGGTACAGCGATGCAGATGGAACAAAACGTCGTGTGGAGGACGTGGAAGTGTTTCTTCGGCAGGGAAAACGGCTTCCATTGCCAGCTGGCTGCCCGCAGATCATGTACACCATGATGAACGATTGCTGGCGGCTTGATAAGCACAAGCGACCACCATTCTTAGAGTTGGTGGACCGCCTAGGAAAATTGCTTGAAGACCCGTCGGTCGTGCACAGTTCGTAGTGAGTGTTTTTGCAGGAATGTAAAGGGTGCTGTCGGTTCACACATGGGCTGCCTTTGCAGTCTGGTTTCCAGTGGGCATTGTGTACCAGATTGATGCGGAGAGGTAAAGATTATCGTGAGCACCAGTCTGGACACGAAGGGGAGTCTTTTCGTCTCTGTTGGTTTTGTGCAAGAATTATACAGGCTGCTGCTGGTTTATATATACTCAGCTGCCATTGCGGTCTGGTTTCCAGACTGCATTGTGCACTAGATTGATGCGGAGAGGTTAAGAGACCATCACGAGAACCTGTCTTGGACACAAAGGGGATCAAGTCTTCTTATCACAGTGGATATTGTGTTGGAATGTAGAGGATGCTGCTGGAGAAACAACTTACAGGAGCTGAACGAAGATTTCTCGTGTGTGTGTGCGGCAGGTTAGCAAGACTTCCCATCTAGTTCAACAGAGCATGATTGAATCACGTCTTGGTTAATTCTATGGAGACCACCAAAGTATCAGTAGTTGGCTCCTCCAGCGCAAACAAATCTAGCTCTCTGCATATGTACATGCTGTAAACAACCCTATTAAGGTCATACTGTGGATTATTTACAATTTTGTGTAAAATGTGAAATTTTAGAGCCTGTGGCTATGGAAGAGTGGTTTTGCTTCGAAAACCCAAAGGATGTTATTTTTATATTTCGAATGAAATTGGGTCGACGAGGGTGTGGTTGAGTACTCAGCTCATTGAACTTCCAGGATGGGTTTCGGTATGGCATTCGTTGTAGCGATAGCTCGCCCGGTCTCTTTTTTGCCCCTTGTCAATTAAGCCATGACATGATCCAGCGATATTACTCGATTTTTCCATTCCCTTGGAATACAAAATCTTATCAAAGGATTTTCACACAATTTGTAAACGTGTTTTGTTTAGTGTGTATATTGCAGCATCATGTAAGTGCAAATGACGTTTTGGCAGTGATTCGATTCATTTCAGAAAATCCCCATGGGGAAAATTTGGGCGGGGAAGGGACCCCCTTCTTTTTTCCTACTCTGTGCTTTGTTGGATAGCGGTCGCATATTGTTAAGTTTTCTGTATTTAGGTGCTGCATTAACTCGGCATTAGGGTATAAAAATGTACATAAGTTGGATCTCGGTAGAAGACAAGGCACCAGAAATCACTGATGATCAATGACAGCTGTTGAATATTCATATATCCAAATATGCTGCAGCCCCTAAGTGAATAAATGAATAAATCAGCAGTAGGTGGTGCTTTATACCAAGAGGTGTGGCCAAGTGGGATCACTTTGGACTCTACGTTTAGTTAATAGTGTAGTGATCTAAAAAAAAATATATTAAAAAAAATTAAAAATGCTTTAGCTTTTATATTATACGGGTGTAACTTGGTCAAGGCAAACTGTCGTTTCAAAAGTACAGGTATAAATGGTTCGGAAATACCTGTATCAAGTAGGCATAAGTAGGTACAAATGGGTATACATGTAAATAGGTACAAATGGGTAAAAATAGATATAAGTCATACATGTAGACAGTTATAACTGGGCATACATTTGTAAATGTGCACAAATGTACAGGCTCAAATGGGTGAAAATTGATTTTGTTAAATACAAAAAGGTGTCAAGTTGACATAAATGGGTGCAGCATGAAATAGGTTAAGGTGAATAAATTGGGTGCGAAACCTGGGGAAGAATTTGTACTGATCTCCCATCTGAAGGAAATCTAAGTAATCTCAGTTAATTGAAAGACTGACAATTTGTCTAGTATTAAAATTGTGCTGTTCATATTGTTAAAGTTACGTGTTCAAAGGTCAACAGTTAAACGGTGGTTACAAATCTATGTAATTCTTGAAAATTCAGTTTGTTTCGCCAATTTTGCGCTGGATTTATTGCAATTAATAGAATATTATAAAGTTAAATGCTACATGTACATGCACATAAGAAGACTAAATAGATCTGTATATATCGCTTTGGGTTTACTTTCGCCCAGTTGCGAGCTTATTGTGCAAGTGCTTGTAAAGGTTTTGGATCAGTGCATACAACTGGTTCGCAGCGTTGATCATGTCAGTAAATGAGGTGTTTATGTTAATTAGTAACTGTATAAAGTATATCATGGGCCCCAGAAAGTTCTGATACTTAATGATGTCAGTGTTTACAGGTGTGTTTTATTGAAGGAGTTGGGTTGGGACGAGGCGAGAGGATATCGCCCTTCCTTCACTCACACACCGTCGTGGGGACTTTGCCAATTATCAACGTAGCAGTAGAAGTAGAAGTTTTACAACTTGTGGAGGAAATGCATACTTCGCAAAGCATTGTTAATACCGGTAATTACTTGCAGCCTTCCTTGATGAATACACGCACATTCTGTGCATGTGTATGCTTGGAAGTGTTGACCCATGTCACCAGTTGTTCTATCCAATGAGAGCACAAAGACATTTAGTGCCTCTTATGATGGAACGGTTGTCAAATGTAGTACCAACCTCTAACCCATAATACGGTATGGTTTCTAGACCAAACGATTCAGACTACTTATCCGACAAATCTTAGGCCAGGTAGCCGACATGTAAACAAAATAAGGTTTACCAAACACGGCCAGAATCATGCCAGTTCCGAAAATGTCCGAAGTTTGCCGAATTCATTTCGCTGACACGCGGATGCTCGCATTATGTATGCCGAGAAAATGTGACGCGTCCCCAGCAATTTTACATCTTACTGTTACAGAACGTTTTCACAAAGTTTTACTTGAAAATGGTTCACTGCCTTACAGCAGATTGTTACCGCACCAGTTACAACCACAGTTGTACTTATTTTCGCTTCAAAGAGAAACAGCTAGCCATAGCGAAAAAATGGTATAAAGGACCGTTGCAATGCGCTTGATCAAGTAATCACGGCTGCACCGAGCTGACCACGGGCGTAAACGTAGTTTTCATTCAGCAACAAAATACATGTCATGCTTGTCATCACTTTTGAACATTTGGAATTCATAATTGTCTGCGCATTACAATTTCAATGGCAGGCGTATTGCCAAGTATTGAATGTATCTTTCCCTACATGTACCGTACGTAGAAAATGAACCCAGAATGCACTCGTACGGGGTGGAGGGTGGGGCCTTACTGCGACATGTTCTACTTTTGAATGTGACGGTTACCTTATGACATATACATAACATGTACATTAGGATCATGTGGTCAGGGAACCAGACTAACCGTGAGAAAGCACACGTGTATCAAGCAGTGACGTCATTATGTATCGGGTTCATGGGTAATAATGATGGTGCATGCCCAGTTGGGCATACTGTAGGAGTGCCTTGACTGTTCATGTGATCTATTAAGAATCATTGTATTTTATATATCAAAATAATTTACATATTTATGAATATGTATGACGAATTATAAAATATGTGTATCGAAACGTAATAAAGGGATGTGACATGATGCGCGTCCGTGGGACTTAACTTTACTTCGAAGCATGATGGTTGGACGACTTGGACTAAGTCAACTAATTGGAACTCGAGTCTTATGAACTCCTATGACACCCATCCCTTTGCTTGTAGGAACTATAATGTTTCCCTCACACGTAACTAGTTTTATAACGAGGCACGCGCAAAACAACCAATGAGTCCGTATTTCACGGAGTCTTTATTTCATACGACACCGGAGCACTGGTTACCAAGAACCACGCGCATCATAATGCACAGCAGGGAGCCAGGATTATGACATAATATCGAGATGACGTTTTGACTATAGTAGCGTGTCACTAGAGACGTTCGCGATCGCACGTGCTTTGAGTATCGAGCGCGCAGCGCAAAAGTTGTTGTTTGAATCAGCCATGGTCTTCCAACTTGCTGAGTGATTGTGGATGATTGTCAATAATACTACTGGCCTCTGCTGTCGCGCCTAGGTTACCAACGTCAGCTAAAGAAAACCGGATGGGCAACGTACAAGAAGGTGCTCTTTCCATTCTAACTAATTAAACTATGGATAACCTGTAATACACGTATACTTTCAGGGCGTATTCGAAAACCCATTCTCGAGTGACCTTTCTCGGGTTCCCGTTTACGAACGCCCAATCGGCAGCGTAGCCAGGGCTCAGTCAGTGGCTGTGTCACGCACACAGCCCTGTTTGACCTCAGTTTCTTGTCCCGAGGTCACGCACGCATGGCCCAAAAGCGTACGCGAGATTTTACGAGATGTATTCGAGACTACAGAAAAACACAAAAAGTACCTGGATACGTGCACTGTTTGGCCAAGTTGGCTAAATCATTGAAAAGTTGAAATCGTGTGCTTTATTTTGTTACCAAAAATAACTGCTTTGTACAAATATAAAGTGCTATTACGGCCTGTCAAACAAAATCATATTTTATATCAACAAAAGCGAGGGCCGATAGTTTTTTTTAGGTATACATTCGATTCTTAAAAACGGCCAAAAGAAATGACAAGGCTTAGTAGATAGAGGAGAGTATACGCTTCTTTTTCATGTGAAACACGTGCAGGAGACTTCTAATGTTTGGTCCAAATCGCCGGTTGAAAAATGAAGACTTTTGCGAGATTTCATGATTCGCAATCACACCGACGGCCGACGGCCTGAACAACACGTGCGAACGTGCAATGAATGACTTATGAATATTAAGCAGGCCAACTCAAGCTCGACCAGTCAGTGGGCGGGCGGCGCGTATGGGATCACAAGGTCATACCATGTTTGCGTTCCTTGCTCTATGCTTTTACGATGCATGCAATGGCGACAATCTTTTCGCGTTGTGGAAAATGGAAGTTGTTGGAAACATTAGGTGGACATCGAATTCTTAAGATATTAACGAGAATCACGAGATTTTTTGTAGATGAAGGTTCATTCTTTCCTTTGAGTACATTAACATTTGGGAGACTTTCGTCGTTGTCGAAAAAAAACCCGGAAATTTAGTCAATTTGTCCGTGAACGGTGATATAATATCGTCAAAATTCATCGAAATCATTTTTTTGAGAAAAAGAAATACCTCGATAGATGTATTTAGTAGGTCATTTACTACCTGAGACAGCTTTGTTTGCTTGGATCGGTTGTGGTTTGCCACGGCGAATTTTCTGAAGCCCTTCTTACGGCCATCGTTCGCTAGCCTCGCGTTGCTGTCATTTTGTCTGGACGAGAAAATAGAGCAGCGACGCGTGACACGGCAACTGACTGGGGCTCTCATTATCGCGGGCGGAGGCGGGATGTTACAGTTGGGGGGGGGGGGATACAGAAAGGTAGACAGGTGGGGTTTTTTTCTCTGGACACCCGGCCTCCGTAAAATCTAAAAGTGAAAGGGGGCGGGGGTTGGACACCATCTTCCTATGTGGGCGCTGTTCAAGCAAAACCGACATCATGGTTAATGTCACACATTACGTGGCACAGTTCGCTTATTTTCAAAAATGAACAATCATACTGCGCAAGCGCAGAGGTTATCCAATCAATGACCTTAATAGGGGCTAGCTGTCCCCCATATTTTATGGGGACGGGGACCAGTCCTATAGACCGGCAACGCGTTGAACGTTCCTCGACTTGTCTGTCATACAGTGGGTGCGTTCGAGTAGGTTACACGTGTACATAAAACTTACACGGGAGCGTTCGATTAGCCATCACGTACGAGATACTCGTGGCTGCCCGGGTGTAACCGGACGGGTTCGTGGCTAGCTACAATCCCGGCCAAAATGGTTGGGACACTTGGAAATAACCTTAGCCTTCCACGGTCACCATTCCCCCGCTCCCCCGGTCAATGTTGTTCTCTCCAGCTGATGGAGCACACCCCGCGCAATGAGAGACAACATTGACAGGGGGCCGGGGGCCCAGTGAGATTTGGCCAGGATTGTAGATTGAAGATGGCGGGAATTAGAACATGAAATGAGTGCAATGGAGAGATTTCGACAGATAACATTCCCACTCATTATACAACGGTGTGCAATGGAATAGACCTAGTTTTGACAATTCAGAAAATATATTCCGATTCCACTGAGATGTTATTTATCTGGTTGCCGTGATAATAACCGTGAATTTTTAACATCCTGTCATTCTGTAACTTTTAATACCCTTTTTTATATGTTCATCAAAAAAAAAACGCTTTAAAATTGTATTACTTTTTGTCGATCGAAAATTTTAGTGTTACATGACTTGTCGAACAATGTAACTAATAGCTGCTTAAAGAACTTTGAGCTGGTAGACACCAATTAAAAAAAGTAATATCACCATTGTGAAGATCCCAGAAAGAGTATATGCCTATTACGACCATCTCATAGGGCATCTTTTGCTACTATGATTCAGTAACATTGTATGCAAAAGGTTCACTCGTGTATATGCAAAACAAAGTCATTGCCCCCTCGAAGATGGCTGCTACGCGAAAGGGCTAGACCTAAAAAAAAAATTTAAAAAAATGCCGTTGTTGAAAGGAAAATATTTAGCAGCTTTGTAAATTACGTGTATTGTTGGGCTCCTTTGTTGTCGCATTATGATTAATGCAGATCATGCATTAGGCATCGTTAGCCTCGGCCATTTATACGCGAAAGGAAAAGCCAAAATGACAACGTGTCAATAAAATATTACTGAAGTCATCCGTCTCCCGCTCAAATGAGGCAGTACAGGCATTGTACTATTTAGAGATAAATTAGTTACTGCAAGTCCAAAGGAACCCGTAATTTTGATGAAATTCTAAGAAAGGTATATGCGCAACTATAGAACATTAACGTATTTCATCTAAATGATTAATTGCCTACAGAATTATTGGCTGGTTATTGCGTAGGCCTAATATGCAGCCTCCAACGATGTGGCTTTTATTGTCATGAATGCCAGAGCATGCTTTTTGTGTTTGAAGTACCAGCTAAGTTGAATAGAAAGCGGCTTTGTTAATGGACAGGTTTTACCTCGAATATGTTAATCCTTTATTAAAAAATTCTATAAAATTTAGTGCATAACCGTCGATCGTACGGATTCTATACAAGAATATGCATTTCAAGACCTTCGCTCGTACCCCCGCCCTGCAAACAGGACGCTGGGATACTCTGATGATTTCACGCTCTGATTGGTTGGATTTTGCGTGACCAGTGACCTGCGCGTCATCAAGGTCATGACTCTGCAAGGTTTTGAAACGGCCGTTAAGACTGATTCATTACTCTGTTATTCCAGTTTAGAGATGTTTTTTTTTCTCGTTGAAAAGCGTAATAATGTAGGAAATTCTGTAAAACTTATTTGTGTTGTAAATTTACAATTGCCGTCACTCGCTCAGGCTCCGTTTCGAATCACGAACGGTCGGATTGCATCATGCGACGCCCAAAATTGTGTCCATATGGCCCGCAATGAAACAGAAATCACATCCGGTATGGAATGTGCGCATTTCTATTGGAAGTTTTCGGATAGCATTTGCGCACATTGTCTAACTGCGGTCTTGAACAGCTGCAGCCAGATGCTTTATACATAGGTCATAGGCCACTTCCTTCACAAGATTCTGTGAAGCTCATCAGAGTATCCCAGCGTCCTGTTTGCAGGGCGGGGGTACGAGCGAATTCAAGACCTGAATCCTTCTCAAACATACGTCACTAGGGCGCACTGATCATCACAGCAAAGTTCGCACCAAATTGTGGATTTTCCCACTTCCGGTTTTCATGTAGCTAATGTGCCTGAGGGATAATGAACAATTCGGACATTTTAGGGGATCGGACAAATACAATGAAGACAATTTCTGTCTGGTCAGATTGATATCAAGTCGCCCCCTGGCCGATTTAGTTAAGATTTATGTTATTTATTTACCTGTGCATTAACAAGTTCCACTAATAACTTTTTCCAACCTGCAAACAATACGAACTTTAAAACTTCACCAAGCTAGCGAGGTATTCTGTAGATATAGGCAATTGACAGTGGATATAGATCTGAGACATGTATTATGCGGAGGAAACCTGAAATGGTATCCTGGGAAAACCTGCAGTATCGTACATGCAGGCAGAGCTAATTACCTCGTCTATACCAGTTCCCAGGGTAGGCCGTAAATAGCATCAATTACCAAGGTAACGTCGCCATGTCGGCTCGTTTGAGTGAACAAAAAACAAAAAAAAAGGATGGGGAAAAGTGAGTGCGTTTAGTTTGTATAATGTATGAGGCGTTCATCGCATTTTACCTTTTAGGCCGACCATGTGTTTTAGTTTTTGGGTTTTTTTTGGGGGGGGGGGGGGTGCGCTGTTTTTGTTTTGTATTGTTTTTGACCCACTATCCGTACCGCATGGTTTTGTATATTATCAGCCGGAGCGCTGTGGTCCAATTGTTACTGCTTGTGTTGTTGGGTAAGACAGTTTCAGTTGTGCATGTAATTGTCTCTCTCCACCCATTGCGGAGCATAAAATGGGTACCTGTCTTTTGCAGGTAGAGACCAGAATTTGCTGAACTCCAGCTGCTGCAAAAACTGGTCTCGTGGCCTGATGAACAGGGGTAGGCTAATAATTGTGCAG